AAAACAAAAACAATATGGGAGTTAGAAGCTCAATACATGGGAGGGGTTTTAAGTAATACTGATACATTTAATCATGCTTAATTGTCATATAACTTATTAATTACTAGGAGACCAGGGAAAAACTAACTGTTGGGAACTGTCGTGGCAGGTTTCCAGTTCTCTGGCGCGATGAGTGGGAGGCATATCTGGCCCTTTTCGTCAATATTTGGGTGATAAATAGGGGTCTTAAAGAGGAGCTTCGGAGGTTTGAAGGGGAATTCAGGGCAAAATTCAATGTGCAGCTTGAAAGCGCCCTGGCTGTAGGGTGGACTGGTCTGAAAAAAAACAATAAATAACAACTTTGTCCAAAAAGCATGTAACAGAGCAGAGACCGGATGAGAAGGTGTCTGAATCAAAAATGCGTCGATATTGTCTACCTCGGATTACTCCTATTAGTACCAGGTTAACAAATTAACGTCAAAGAATCATGCCCAGCCGTTTATTATAGACGAATAAAAAGGGATGGCGTTCAACGCACATCTGCATAATCCTGCTATAGGGTCAGAAAAGGCCCTTTTATAAGCCTTGCAACTGTGGTAGTCAAAATGAACCTTGCGTGTACCGTTAACCGATATAAAAGGCAAACGACTAATCAGTATCAGAGCATCTAACTTTCCACGCCCTTTTCCCAATCAAGCCTAGGGTCTAGCCACACAGTAACCGGGAAGCACGTCAACAATGAAAAAGGAATGTAGCTCAGAACAGTAGTCGAGGAAAATGGCCTTCGTTATTTATATCTTGAGACCATACAGCAGTAGAACTAACAGTTGTCGATTACGTACGAAGACCCTCAGTAGCCTAAAGCGCACGATATTAAATAAAAGGAGCAGGACTTTAGAACATTAGAATTGTCTACCCATAGGGTTTGATGTCAAACTAAAGAGCGACGAAATTGTGCTTCTACACAAAGCTTAACTGACAGACTCGAGAGGGGAGTACACACCGGGAGAATTAAACCGTTCCACTCAAAGAGATTTTCCTCCTGGTTTGCGTCGATTTTGAAAACCGAGAGCATGGCCTCCTCGTTCATGGATTGCAACTCCTAAAATTAAGGAGATAAGCATCAAAGTTTCGCAAAAGGACATACAGTACAAGATCAGCATTTAAGTACATGGTCTTGGGAGGTACAATATTAAAAGGGGGGGCCGCAGATACAGAACAATGAAAAGCCCTCGACCTAGGGAGGATGGTAGAGCTCAGTATCGATCACCACTTGAAATTTTGTTGTCTATCCCGTAACATCAAAAATTGTAAATCCTAAAACAAAAAATGCTCATCTCCCTTCCACCTATAACATCATCTGCAAAATTTCTTATCTAAGGACGGCATTGTTACCGAATTTATTGTTTTTTAAACAAGAAACATGATGCTCCATGTAAAAAACAGATGAAAAGTTGTATGAAAAGTGTGGCCATGTAAATCAAAGTTAGCCATTTAAAATTCCTATGACAGGATGGCAAAAATAGGAATAATTTAAATTAACGAAGTAATCCTTTTGAAAATGTGTTGTCATAAATACGAAATACTTCGGACTGTACTCAAGTGTGAAAAGCCGAACTCAATACATCCCAGATATGCGATGTTTGATTTGACCGACTATCTTCTGTGAGCATAGGAACGCAATGCCATTAGTTTTTTTAAAGCTAAAGTAAACAAACAAAGCTTGACTTGTTAAGCGTGAATTACTTTAAAAAACGAAGTAACGGTCAGAGGAGTAAAGCGTGTCATGTTTTTTGCGACCAACATGAGTCGTAGGAGTTTTGTACTATCGGAGACGACACAGCCCGAAACCATTGCATGAAATTTGGACAGTTACGTTAACAGCCCGCATTTTGCATAATTGAAGAACTGATTCACCGTGACAAAGTCTAAAGCAGTCAGTAAGAGCTTTATTGTAAAACTTTAATAACATGAAACAAAATTGACCGGCACACACCGTTAGCCTAACTTGACTAAAAATACAATACGGGTATTGCTCCAGCGAGCCACGCTACGAACAAATAATTATGTAAGTAGTGTAGGTTTGTTCTTTGATTTCTGATGCATCTATACATTGGCGAAACTATCATAATCTATCCATGCAAAATTATGCCGTCTCCAAATTGTGTATCTTTTTTTAAAATAGAGACTGTACCTGTCTATAAAAAACGTTAAGAAGTTATTCGTGTAAGCTGACATTCCAGGCCTTACTAACATAATATTACATGTGCAGCGCTAGACGTACATACAAGAACAATCGAGGAACGCCGGGAAACGTTTTTTTTGACATGTAAAAATAGGCAATGCGCCTCAGAAAAAAGAAAGTTAGATATTGCGAAGAAGCTGACAAAAAGTCTACATGTCGTTCATAATCACAAAGCTATTAAAGGTCTTAGAAAACTGAAATATTTCAAACCTTGTATAAGATATTTGGACATAATTCCTCATTAAATAATTTTTGATGAATAAGTGACTGTAGAGCACAGCTGCGAAATCACCATAAAATGTTAAATTTTAAGGGATTCGGGTAAATGTAAAACGACTTGTTTAGTAGTTAGCATACCGTTGGATGAAAGGCAAATTGTATGCGGTTAAGCGCTTATCATATTTAGATCAGCAACGTAAACAGTTACGTTGCATGCACCACGATTTATGGTGCATAGCTCAAGCACTAGCTAAAGATGCAAGGGCACGTTTCGTCGACCTGGTGAAGCTACATGGCGGTCGTGATTTAGCTCATGGTTCAATTATCAAGCGTTTGCATCCGTCAACATTTCGTTTTGTAAAAACCACCATCGTTCCTGTAGAATGGAAAATTTGAATCTTGTGGTTCATATTTATCTGCCTATACTACTAGTTACTGTGCAAATGCTGACGTGGCTTGGGAGTGAAAGCCAAGGCAAAACGGAATGAGTATGTCCCGTAACGCGAATGGTTATCACATCTTTGCCGCCTTCTATAATTGTTATGAATAAACTGCAAAACCAAGAGAAAATGTGTGATTTAAAATGGTAGGTACAGCGGTCCAAAGATAGTTACGATGTTAATGTAAGGGCTGCTGATCTCAGTAAGAATCAATTGAAAGGTCATGATGAGCAAAGTACAGACAAACTTCAGAAGTCTGATATTTATCGGAATAACACGCCTGGCCAACACTGGACAGCCTAACAGCGAGAAACTACCAAATAACTCGACCCATAGCATGAAAGAGTTTTTGATGCAGTCGTCTGGTGAAATGCTTGCCTTAGTTAGACGTCTGGTGGCCGCCATTGTAAATGATACGAACTGATTCTGAAAACGGGAGAAAAAAGGAAAACAGCATATCAGAAATAGCAAGTCTAACAGACATATATCCCCTGGCGGTTTACTGCACAAGAGTGAATAGTGATCTACAAAAGGCATAACTAATCCGATGCTTTCCAAGACAAAGCTTGCCACATATAAGCCTGAATTCTTCAGTGTCGTTAAGTAAATTTACAAGACATCCTTAGTAATATAAAATATAAAAAATACACATCCTTGATATAAAAATTCGGCGCACGATCACAGATACAGCGCGTCTAAAAAATACATCGGTCCACATAAAAAGCCACGCTCGGGAAGCCCGAAGTTTATCAATTTTCGCAGCCATCTCACGAGTGGAAAGGAGGGTATCGCCTGAGGAATGGGCGGTGCAAACCTGAACTTACAGTCTGCGGGAATCACGTGAGCGGTGGCGTGGCTGTTTTGTCGGACTTAAATGAGACTGAACTGTAGATATGTACGTTATTGTCCTTCACGATGACTGACGGTAGATTTCCCGCTGTTGATGGGCACACCCTAATAGCATTCACCTAAGCCCTTTGGTCCGAGTGCTGCGTGAATGCAGATCTGGGCGGTATTCCGTGCGTTGGCTGGGGGAGGTTGCAAGCCTTCACCGAAATCGATGGTCGAAAACACACGCAAGCCCCCCCTCCCCACATCAAACAATTTCTGTGCGCACGTATGT